GAATTTATTTTTTAAAAAATGAGATTCAAAGTGAGAAGACGACCACGCGGGCAATAAATTCAACACTACTCTTTCGAGTGGCAGGGTTTTTATGAATTATAAATCCATCGTACCCTCTCCTTCTATGGACGGTTGGATTGGAAATATGGATGGGCTTCATCAAACTCTACAATAACCCCACTTCATATCTTTCCAAGCCAGTTTTGCTTTAATGGCCTGGTCTTTGGCAAGCAATCAATGCTCGTTTCTGTTCAGGGTTTTCTACATTTTTTTTTTTTTAAAAACCCACAGGTTCAGCTGCTGTTTCACTGTAGAGTTTCTCTCTCAGATTTTGTATTTCTGGGAAGGTAGGTGAGAAACTCCATTTTTTTGTGAATAACTTCTCCAAGCCTGAATTCTTTTTACAAGCTTTTAGTTTGGCCGGACATTTTGTCCCTCTGTCTAATACAGGGGTAGTCAACCTTGGCTCTTTTATGACTCGTGGATTTCAACTCCCAGAATTCCTGAGCCAGCACAGCTGGCTCAGGAATTCTGGGAGTTGAAGTCCACGAGTCATAAAAGAGCCAAGGTTGACTACCCCTGGTCTAATATGTTGGCGAGCAGAGTCTGGAGAGGCTAAAAAACCAGGGTTTCTCAAACTGGAGGTTTTCAAGAAGAGACAGGACAGCCACTTATCAGAAATGGTATAGGGCTTCCTGCTGGAGCAAGGGGTTGGACTAGATGGCCTCCAAGGTCCCTTCCAACTCAGCTATTCTGTTATTCTGAACGACTTGCCTTCAGAAATTGTGGGTGCTCCAACACTGGAAATTTTCATCAAGAGATCGGACAGCCACTTGTCCGAAATGGTATCTCCTGCTCAAGCAGGGGGTTAGACTAGAAGACCTCCAAGGTCCCTTCCAATTCTTGTTATTCCGTTAAATCAAGGTGAAGAAGTTGGCCCATCACATTGATTTTAGAGATAAAGATAGCTTCCTTTTAAAACGTGGGCGGCTTCATCTGCTTGTTGAAATGCAGCGCTCTGTAATGTACTATAGCAAATTGGGTTTAGAGCAGGGGTCTTCAAATGTGGCCCTTTTATGACCTGTGGACTTCAATTCCCAGAATTCCTCAGCCAGGTATGTTGGCTGAGGGATTCTGGGAGTTGAAGTCCGCAAGTCATGAAGGCATAGTTCCCCCATGCTAGCTGAGGAATTCTGGGAGTTGAAGTCCACGAGTCATGAAGGGGCCATAGTTCCCCCATGCTGGCTCGGGAATTCTGGGAGTTGAAGTCCGCGAGTCATGAAGGGGCCATAGTTCCCCCATGCTGGCTCGGGAATTCTGGGAGTTGAAGTCCGCGAGTCATGAAGGGGCCATAGTTCCCTCATGCTGGCTCAGGAATTCTGGGAGTTGAAGTCCACGAGTCATGAAGGGGCCATAGTTCCCCCATGCTGGCTCAGGAATTCTGGGAGTTGAAGTCCATGAGTCATGAAGGGGCCAAAGTTTCCCTCA